ACAGAAATCTGAATGAATGTTCCTCATGCCTCGATAGGACTGGCTACCATGCTGTTGGGTGTATCTGGCAGCTGAGAGGACATTGATGCTACTTCACTTCCAGTAGAATTGGAACCGGGTCCTCCTTCTGAAAAATTAACCTGCCAAAAAAGAAAAAAAAAAAAATAAAAGAAGAAAAATAAGAAAAAGAAGTGTTGTTACAAATGTAACAATCAAAGAAAGGTAGCCAGCAAAGGCCAGGAAGAACACGAAAATAAATACACAGGCATGCAGCCGAACAGGCTGATATGTCTCCACGGGAGGTTGTGTCACTGGTTGTTGCTTTGTTTAGGTTCCCCATTGGCTTCACAGGAATCTTCAGCCCTTCAGCCAAATCACCGGAAAAAAAGCAGGTTAAAAACCCCTAAAACTTAAAAAAAGACTGAAAAATCAACCAAAAACACAAACAAACTTATTAATGAGGCCTTCTTCCCTGTCTTGCAAGAGTGGCAATCCCAACAGGATGTTCTAGTCAATTATTTAAGAACGCACGTGGGTTTTTGACACAAAATTGCAAGGTTACCTTTTTTCTCTTCTGTGCACATACTAAAATAAACCTGGAAGAAGAATCCAGGAGCAGAAGGCATTTGAAACAACCCATCCTCTTTGATTTGTGATTTGAAGCGGGTGCTATCTCTTTTTAACGAGAGTCAGTTTGATAAAAAAGGTCACACTTCTCCATCCTAATGTGCCCCGCGGCTCCCGTTAGTTTAGGAGCAGCGTTGGGAAAAGGCATGATTTGAAGGGTGGAGCTTTGCTAATCCAAAAGCATTTCTTTGGCACCTATTTAGCTGGCCGATCCTGTGATTAAGGCCCTTTCCAGATTACAGACGTGCCTTGAACCGTCGATGAACTGTCTGTTCCATCCACTATTCTTTTTTTTTTAAACTCTTTTCAGTGTCAGATGTTATGTCCAATATATATCTATCAATATTCAGTTATCTAATGATCTATCTACCTATATGCGTGTGTGTATTTGGGCTACCCATCTTCCATTGTGTCTTTTTTTTTTAAGAACTACTCTATACAAAAACTCACTGCATCAAAGGTTTTTAAAGTCTCCTGTTCTGTTAATGCACAATAAGTAAGCAGCCGAAGGAGATCAATTTTTCTTGTGTCTGTTTGACAGCTTGATTAAAGCAGCAGTACCAGTGGTTGCTCTAGAGGTAAGATGATGCAAACAGCCCTGCTGCTGTGCTACAGCTTCCCAAGCAAGCACAGCGTGCCAGGGGAGGGAAGCACGCTGCAGCTTGCCACTGGGCAAAATAAAAGTGATCCTGCAAGAGAGCATGATACTAAACTGAAAACATCTGAAAACAATTCTAGACATGGCTGCACACCTTTGTCTTCCATTGCTTCATATATATATTAAAAAAAAAAAGCCTAACAGATCAAAAAAGAGCCTATATATTAATTTTTCATCATTAAGCATTATTTTGAATCACTGAAAAACCATATACCTTACCATTATTTTAATAATGTACCTTATTATTTTAAAGATCTGTTTTTAACACACTTAGGCCAGGAAATTGAGTTAAGGCTGAACTTGTGTCCTTAATTCACCTTGTTGGGCCTAAGTATTGTAGATGATATGGTCCCATATGAGCTGCCAAATGACGTAGGCATAAGGAAGTGAGTTAAGAACAGAATTTATTCTGAAGGATCTGTTTTCTTTTGGCTTAAGGCAGTTTATTATATTGTTTGAATTTTTCACGTGAATACTTACTAACAGTTCCCCTTCTAAAGCACAACATTAAATGTACACTATTTATGTATATATTTGTGTCTATGTGTGTATGTATAAAGATATATATCTATATATAGATATATATTTATATCTGGAGGTCTAGGTATCTATTTATATCTAGAGGTATATGCTCAAAACAAGCACTTCAAAAATATAATTAATTATTCATGTTTGTGTGCCAAAACAAAGGCTCAAGCTGACATTATAAGTATATATTTAAAATCCACCCTATTGCATAAAGGCAGAATTGGCCCAAAGGGGAGAGAAGCAATTTTAGAAACTACTTTCCCAAATGTACATACATTTAAATGACATGTGAAGAATGTTTTAGTTCTCTGGATAGAGGTGCTTCAAATTTTCAGGAGTGTGTGAGCTGTTAGTCTTAGACCTGGGTCTGGCCTTATCCAGCTCCCACTCAACTCGGCAAGAGCTCTGCTGTGCAGTAGGGTGGGGTTTACACCCAGGCCTATTAAATCCATTCAGTTTTCTGCATTTACAGAGTGCCATCATGCCCGCCTTGCAATTTCAGGAAAACCCGGCTCGTCTGGGTTGCTCATCTCTCTGAGGGCATCCGTCACGGTTAGAGAATCCCCCATTGCTCTGCCCGGGGTACAGGCTGGCCTGCCCCGGCCGGGAACCGACACTTACTAGTTGCTGAAAAGCAGGTTGGTCTATGTCACTCTGCAAAGCGAAGTCACTCAGTACTTTCCAGGGCGGCTGGTAACTCTGCACCTCCACCGGGTTCGCCTGTAAACCACCGTCATGCCTCTCCGGACTAGCAGCCACCATCGGAGTTCCTGTCATCCCCTGGATATTCTGTAAACAGCCCAGCAAAAGATGTTAATGAGCTTGGTTAACTTTATTGTATATAAGCGCTGAGTCAATAAACTGCTTTCTATCTTATCTATACAGTCGCTTGTATTTGCTTTGTTAATCTGCTGTGAATGTCTTACTCTATTCTACTCTAGGTCAGCCTATTTCTATCCGCCGCATTTATCACGGTGGAAGTTTACTTTCTTTCCCTTTAATCCTCCTATTTCTCCCAAGGCATACCCCCCCTCCCAGCTTTCTTAAACACGAGCACTCTGTATCTTGGCTGCTGATGCACGGCTCAGCACAAGAAGCGGTTAATCATGCTGCCTTTCTATTTTGCATCCAGGCTGGTTTTGTTCTGCGTGACCTTAAGTGGATCGTATATCCCCTGCACGGCAAACCTGGGGTACGTCAGTGCCGCGGTCTTTCAAAAAAAGGAAAAATAATTAAAAAAGGGAACCCTCAGCCCTCCCAATATGCCCTGTGGTGCAGGCACTGTGGTACTGTGTACAAAATAACTCCAAGCCTCGACGAACAGATTGTTCAGGCTGGTTAATAACATCGTGTTTTATTGCATTCCAACAGGGTAAAATGAAACTCCTTAAATTCCACTTAACTAGGCAGCCTTATGAATTAATAGTCATTCTCAGGTCAGTCAATATACACAGGGAGAATAACAGTCTCTTCTTCAAGTGGACTAACAACAACAGAGGAAAAAAAAAAGTTGGCTTAAAAAGGAGATAGCCAGTTTGCTCTGCTGAACCCAGCGCTTTCTGTTTGCTTGCATCACACGTGTATATGTCCGCAAATAAAACCGCAATATATTTCTGCGAAAGAACTATATCAATTTTAAGTAGCCTGTAAACATGATGGTAATTCAAAAAATTTTGCATTGCATTTGTCTTTTTCTACGGTAACTGCCCTGACAAACACACACATACGCATTGGATTATATAAAGTGCTAAGAAAATACATTAAATTTCCCTTTTACTCATGGTTTTTACTTCTGGGTTTACTCCTGTGTAAAACTATTGAAGAAGGCGAAAGCGTCATTTTCCTCCTAAGGAGTCCTTTGCATTTGCAATATAAATATTACACAAGGCTGGGCTTATTACATCCCATAAGCTCTGCAGATCGCAGTTCACCCTGCAGTGAGGTTAGTCTAATCCACTGCGTATCCTTAGCCCCACAAAAAGACATGTGTTCGCTTGAGCTGCCTGTATTGGCTTCTCGCTGTGGTCTGTTTTAATTGCAGTGATAGCAGAACAAGCGGATAATAGTTAAGCGGTATCATTTTCTTTGTTTTAAGGGAACTCCCACAAAACCAAAAGCGTCAAACCGACCCCAGAGGCTGGCCGGGCTGCACATAGCCCAGGCGTTTCTCCTTGGGAAGAAAGGCAGCGCACGGTCAGAGGCTGGAGCCACTTACAGTTTTGTCATTGGGTTGCTGCTGCTGAAGTTGCTTCATCATAATGCTCCTCTTTTTGTCCTTGCACCGCTTGTTTTGAAACCAAACCCTGATGACCCTCGGGCTGAGGCCAGTCATTTCTACCAGTTGCTCTTTCATGAGTGCATCAGGTCTGGGGTTGGCAGCGTAGCAGGTCCTCAAGGTGTGAAGCTGTTTTTCATTAAGGACAGTCCGGACTCGGGTGGTCTTCTCGGGCTGCTTGTGGACGTGGGGTCGCAGAGCTGGCTGTCTAGCAGAGATAGGTTCTGCTGTAAGGGAAAGGGAAGGGAGGAACAGGATCCCCATGAGTAGGAAGCAAGGAGTCTGCAGAATCTAAACTGGTGGGACAGGGAGAGGCGGGGGTGGGTGGGTGATGAACCCTCTTTCAGAGGCCACTCAAGCAGTCAGATCTATCGGAACTCCTGCAGCCTCCTCTGCTTTATGCGCTGGTGGAGTGACAGGACTGACATTTCTGACTCCACAGATAATTAATTTGCAAAAACAAACCAACCCCCTAAAACCCTTTAATGACAGAAGCTTGAACCTGTATGAGACTTGACAGGGGAGGGCGAGTTCACCAAGGTGTGCGTGCGCTAGGAAAGGAGGGGGAGGGTTTTATGTATTTATTTCCTGACAAATCACCAAAACAGATTTTTGGCCCGAAAATTAATGAAAGAATACTTCTTGAATTAATCATAATTTGGGTCTGCTTCTTGTATAGTGAATCCAGCTTTGTTTAGCCAGAGGCAGCGGTAACGTGCAACAGCTCCCAGCAGTTTGATGCTTCCAAATCAAAGCAAAACAAGCCAAATTCGCTGTACTGTGATCGTGGAGGAAAATCCAGCGAGAGCCCCGTATCTCAGAGCTCGGAAGACGGGGGTCTATCTTAAAAAGTGGAGGCGCTGGGTGAATTTATGTCGACTTTTGATGAATACTTCAAAATTATGAATGTTTCGCCAATTCTTTAAAAGGGGAACAAGCCTAGCAACTAGTGGAAACCGCCAAGAAATGTAAACCTAGGGGTGGCGTCACATCAAGAGCTAGAAGTATTCGTGTGATTCTGCTGTTCTTCTGTGTATTGTATAGCTGTAGCTATCTTTATGTAATTTGATCCAGGCAAGGGAAAAAAAAAAAAAAAAACCAACACAAAACCAACCCAACCAAAAAAAACCCCCTACTTCTGGGTGGGGTTTTTTTTTTTGTTTTGTTTTGGTTTTGTTTTGTTTGTTTTTGGTTTGGTTTTGTTTTCCTAAACTTTGGTTAGCTAATATTCAGAAGTGCTTGCTTTTGTACAGTCGGGTTCTGACTTTTCTATTTATAATAATAAATCTGCAAATGCGATGAAGACAATACTAGGCTTCAAATCTTAGCAGCATTGTACCTGCCGACACAACATGCTTTTCGCAGACATGCACAAACACAATGTAAGGAGCACGCACAGGCTCTCTAAAATTCTGCCATGATCAGTTACGGGATTATTTCTCCCTATATAAGATATGTCATCTGAAAGCAGCTCAGAAGCGGGAAACGAGCCCGCTTAAATATAGCTGTGTTTGTAAATAATCCTTCCAGTTACAGTTGCTTGCACAGCAATAACGCCGGCCAACCTTTTATTGTCCAGCCTATTTTGCCTCAGAGACGTGTCCTTTCCTAAAGCTAAGCGTCTCTGAGTATCTGATGTACCCGTCGAGAACTAAAAGTCTAAATAAAGTTGTACGATGGGGCGACTCTGAAGTTACACTGCTGAGTTTTAAAGAAATTCTCATCAAATCACATAAAACGTTTCAAGAAGGCAGAGTCACTTTAAAAGGCAATTACTGAAGATTAGCTTGTTGACAGTTTTAAATTACAGCCTAAGTGCTCGCCTGTAGTTATGAAGTCTATCTCTTTTAGGCCCCCGCTTCCACCAGTGCTTAGAGCAGCTTTTCCACATGCTCCGGAGGCAGAGGGGTCTGTGCTTTGCCGCAGACCTGCTCCCTGCAGCGGCTCATACCTCTCCGACTCAGGGCCCCAGCTGCCCCGGCCTCGGGGCGGGGGACTCCCGCACCGGTGCGCGGTCGGAGCAGGAGAGGCGCAGGTTGCGGAGGTGCGGCCCCCTTGCGCAGGTGTCTC